ATGATGAAGTGCCCTCATGGGTGTCCTACCAGTGGAGAAAACATGATAAAGTAGATAGATAGATAGATACTTTATTCATGAAGTATGAATAAAGTATCATCTAGTGCTCTCATGGGTGCCCTTCCAGTGGAGAAAACGAGATGCAGTGCACTAATGGGTGCCCTTAAATGGAGAAAACATGATATAGTGCCATAAAGGCTTTTTATAACCCCATCCCCCCAGACAGCCTGAGTCCGCCACTGCTCTTATTCACTTTGACTCTTGTAATGGTAATTTGTTATGTAGTATACGTATATTTCTACTTACTTTGTATATATTTCCACTCAGTATATCGTAGTCATGCATAAGTAATTTTGCTCTGAACTTTGTTGAACTTCACCGTGTCTCTGTTGTGCAGAAGAAGAGTTCTCCCTTGCCTGTTCACAAAGATAACTAACTGTGTTGCATGAGAATGTTCCAGCACCAAGGCCTTTGGGCCGCTTGCTTTGGTTGCTGACCGTTTGTTTTTGAATGTTGTTCCTATCAGTCTGAGACCAAAAGTCTGAGACTGAAATGTCTGTAACATTGGCCATCAGCCCCCACCTTTGCTCATTCTGTATAAAGAAAGCTTGTTCACTTTTTTCAAGGTTCTTCCTCACTGAGACTGTACGCATTCTGTTGTGATGATTGAACCTTCTCTGCGCAGAGAATAAATACTTAAAAGACAACCTGTTTTTTGGTATTATGTATTTCAGCATGAAAAGACTCATGCAAAGCGGGTATGGGGATTTTTTCCACCACACTGCTAATTGATATGTCTGGATTTAGCCTTTTGTAAGAAGTCAACACAACAGTGTCGCTCTTTAATACAATAGAGTTCTATAGACGTTCATGGATATAGTGCTCAGCTTTCTGAAACTCTTTGAAAGAGTGGTGCTGAGTCAGGGCGTTTTGGAGGTTGTGCTGCTGTTGAATTGTATTGTACTGAGAACAAACATTTTGTCCACCCTGTAGATCTCGAGGATGGAGTAAGTACATGTAGCGTGTGAGAGAACGAGTGTCTCAAATTTATCTCTAAAAATAATATTTGCCATGTTAAGGGTACAACTTCTTTTCTGCTCCTTCTTTTGCTTTGCCTCCTGCTCTTAAAGTGTCTCATTGTGTGATGTGTGGTGCTACACGTCAAGTCTATAGGGAGAGCCATATAAATGACTAATCTAATGGGGTGTGTGTCATGTTAACAAGTGAAAATTGCTGCTGATAAGGGCATGTAACACAAGCCTAAAATGTCAGTTGCCTGATTTCTGTAGGCTGTCATCCTGTAAAGTGACAGAAGATGGATGTGCCGCCCTAGCCTCGGCTCTGAGGTCTGACCACTGCAGCCTCAGGGAGCTGGACCTGAGCTTTAATCACCTGGCACATCAAGGAGTCGAGCTGCTGACTGAAATACAGAGGGATTCACGCTACAGTCTGGAGAAGCTCAAGTATGCTCAAACAGGCTGTCCACTCACTTCTATCATTACTCCAAGATCTTTTTTTAAGATTCACCCTATTTGAGGTCGATTTGAAGTGCATGTGTGACAATATTGTTGATGTCACCTGCTGTCCCTCTGTTTCCCATCAGTGTGGATGAAAACGAAGAGTTCTGGTTTGACCTGCAGCTCCTGAGACAGTGTAAGAATGTGATTATTGTAATGAAATGCTGAAGCTGTGATGTTGTAACATGAATGTATCGTTAAATGTGGATATGAGGATATCATGTTAAGTGGGGGGCACTTATCTACACAGGACTGTGGTTCTGTTATCACTGTACTATATTGTTGTGTATTTATTAAGTGATAGCATACAAAAAAGTGTCAGGTGGCAAACTCCAGGTCTCTACCGGCCCTCAGGGCGCAACTCTTCTGGTTTTAAAAGTAAGTCAGATTGTATAGAAGTCTATGAGACTCACTTGATTTATCACATCAGCAGACATTGTGAACAACATCGCTAGTTTGAAGTCTTCTTTAATACAGCATGATGTTCATTTCGTAAATGATGGTCATATTTAGAGTGACATAGGTCATAAAGCAGGGGATGTTTTAGGGCGGGGCTACTGTGATTGACAGGTTGCTACCACAGCGTTTTCCTTTCTGCGATTTGTCAGTGTTTTCATCTTACAACTTTAACTCTATCACAGTGTGTTCTCAGTTCATGAAAGTTATTTACCGGTAACTCTTTTGGTTGCCTAAATATGCAGTAGTACTCCACTAATGAATTGATTCTCCTGTCTTCATTACAGATGCATGTGATCTGACACTGGACCCGAACACAGCAGGCCTGAATACAGTTTTGTCAGAGGAGAACAAAAAGGCAACATATGTTCAAGAGGAGCAGCCGTATCCTGAGAATCCAGAGAGATTTCCACACTGTCAAGTTCTGTGTGAAGAGGGTCTGACCGGTCGCCATTACTGGGAGGTTGAGTGTGATTCAGCTGATGTTGGAGTTGCATACAAAAGTATGGACAGGGTGAACGACCGTTCAAGTGAATTTTCTTTGGGGAAAAATGAAAAGTCCTGGTGCTGGTTTTCTAACGGGAGCTTTGGTCATTACAATTCCGATTTTGAGTTTGTGGACTGTGCTACAAAAAGAAGCACCATTGGAGTGTATCTGGACTGGCCGGCGGGTGTTTTGTCCTTTTTTGAGGTCTTTCCTGATAAACTGACCCACCTGTACACTGCCTGTACGACCTTCACTGAACCACTCCATCCTGGTTTCAGTTTTGCAGAGGGATCAGTTTACCTCTGTAAAATAAAGCAACCCAAAACATCTTTGTGAAAACATTGTATGTATAACCACAAAGAGCGGCTCCCTGCTGGATACATGCAAAAACAGTGATACAAGACCTGTAGAATAATTCAATGATAAAATGAATCTGTACCGTGGTCCAAAAAAAAGCCTGAGTAACATACAGTTTTAAACATATGGGTCTGAAGGATTAATACACAAACCCATTAGAGCAGTGGTGTCAAAATCATTTTCACTCTGGGCCACAGCAGCATCACGGTCGCCCTCAAAGGGCCGGTTGTAACTGTAAGAATGTGTAAATGTAACTACTCCTAACATATTGTTAAATAACTGTCTGCATTTGATTATTGTTTATTCAAGTGTAAACATATTGTACATGCAGTTATATAAATGTAAAAATATATTTAAACACATTTCTGTTATTATTACTTAAATCCTTTTAATTTAGGGTGAAGAAACCCACATTACTCTATCGAAGATCAAACTTTTAAAGAAAATGGCAAAGACAAAAAAAAGCAAAACAAAAAATTACAAAAAAAGATGAAAAGTTAGACTTGATAATAAAAATATGGCACTTTTGATGCATCCATCTGTAACCATGACACAGACCAGATGTTTCCAGTTGCTGTTCAATGAAGGTCGCCACCTCAGCCACATCGGCTTTATTCTTTCTACGCCAGAGCTGCTTCTTGCTTAAAATCCTTTCAAGGGTGCGTTTGCTTTGTACAGTCCCACGTGAAGCAGCAAGAAGTAATTCATGTGTTGTAGAGCCACGTTTAATCTTCAATGTCTTCAATGTACTCACAATACTTTTCTATGTCAAATGTAGGGTAACCTGCCAAAGAGCTGCTTCTATGACTGTTGTGTTAAAGTATCTTATAATTATGACTTTCTATCTCATGACACACGGTCTTAAAAGCATGAAATGTAAACTGTGACTTTGTAAATAACGTACCAAATAAAGATCTAAGTCTCGCTACCTGTTTGAAGTTTGAATATTTTTGTAACTAAAAGTATGATGAAGTAATTTGGGTCCAAAGAGGGGTGGGTTTGAGCACTTTTTCCCATTGTCGTATATGGGGAAATGAATGGCAGTCAAATAGGAGAGTCGTAGCACACACTTACGTTCAATCCACCTATTTTTAACGTATGCATGCTCGTGTATTGTTCTACAAAACGTGTGTACGGAAAATGACAAATTATAAGTGTGGTGAATGACAATAAGTGTTCCCTTGTGCTTTTTACAGCAGGCCAATTAAATAAAGGAAATCTGGGGAATAAAACGTAACATTTAACAATCAAAGCAGAACAAGCAGAATACATTTCAGATTGGTATCATGAGGATTTGTTTTCTTAATACTTTCCACACTGTGTGACTCAAATTCCATGAAAGAAACTGGTTTGCATTCCTTCTCACAGTTCTCTCCTTCCTTATCGGACTGTATCTACTTTCATTTTGTCAACTGACAAGGCAGTTTGTTCATGTGCAAGTTTCCCGCTTGGATGATATTCTTATCATCTTGTCAGGCCAGCTAACAAATAAAAAAACCAAATCAAATAGTGGGCTAGTTGCACATTCAGGCCATATGTTAAATCAATTTTGATCTCCGAAAACAAAAGTAGCTGTCTCATCTGTTTTTAATAGCAGAAAAGTGTGACAAAAGTACTATGGTCATGGGAGAAAGAATTTGAGGACCATTCAGAATATCTAAATGGGCCGAAAGCAAGCTTGTGACGAGAAAGTTGTCAATTTGAAAGCACAAGTCCCTGCACTAATCTTAAAGAAGGGAATGAACCCCATGAAAAATAAAACATTGCAGGATAAAACCGATCCTAGAATAGCTTCAATAACCAGAAATACATGTTTGCATATTGTTCGAAAAATTCACTCGAGACTGGTGTAAAAATCATTAATCACATGGACATTTATTCTTCCAAGAAGGAACAGAGTTGATTCACATACAGAATGTACATCAAGACCGCTCGAAGATCTGTCTCAGAGTCTTTACGCCTCTACGTATCTGGACACTTCAACAATTCGTTTCAGTACAAAGGTCACTTTCTCGTAAATCATGGTCGCAAATCAGCCCTGCGTAAGTATTGACGCTTTCTACAAGTTTATTATCATTCTTATTCAGGACAAACAACTGAAGTGTTCTTTCGACAATCAACTGCTTCTTAATAGACTAAACATTTGCTGAAGACGCCTGGTGTCCCAGACAGTTCACACAAGGACACAGGCCTTAAACACTACAGAGGACATGAGCTTCTGTTAAATGTATAATAATTAGTTATTTCGATTTTTTCCCAACAGTATTTTACTGTTTATTGTGCCTTCTTAAATATGTTTCATGTTTTAAAAACTGTTCTTGTAAATGATTGGCCCTTGTGTGGTCACATTGTGTTATTTATGCTTTCCTCTTTGAAATACTACATTTTACTTACTTACTTACATTACTACAGAATGGCTCAAAACATCTTTGAGCACAACACAAATGACCAAAGTCAGAGATCAAAAGGTTGGTGCTTCAGCTTGTGGTGGTTGGTCGATGGGCGGGAGTTTTAAAACTGGGTTTGACAACATTAACTCAGCTTGTGGAGCGTGTTAGCTCTGTGACTCTCATGGGGATTGTACCCCTCTGCTGTTTGTTTTGTCACCTTCTGTTTCCCTTCAGTCGACTGCAGAGTAGGAGCCTTGTTAGCGTTACTCACTCTGAGGTGCCATGGCGCACACACACACACACACACACACACACACACACACACACACACACACACACACACACAACTCTACACTCAGAAATGAGCACACGCAGGTTTGCCATATTAGAACACAAGCACTCAATTCCCTGCTTGTACACCCACATTGACGCGGTCGCATTTCTGCCGCATAGCTCTACCCTTGATCACACTGACATCCAAATATACTGAATGTGCTCACAGTGATGCAAAAGGAACAGCCATTGTGCTAAGCTAACCAGCTGCTGGCTCCAGCTTTATATGTCCCGTACAGACTTGAGGAGTACAATCTTCTTATCTAACTCTCATCCGGAAAGCAAACGAGCATAATCCCCGAAATGTTGAACTATACCTTGAAATTAAAGTCTATTGTACTTACTTGCTACCTTTATGAGATTTCTGTCTCAGTCTTTCCAGTGGAGCCAAGGAACCATTATGGAGAACTTTGTCCCTAGAAACTTTAGTTCACAAGAAATATCCTCGAGTTACTTGCAGTGAGTTGAGTATGAGTTTAGTTTGTAATTGTGGAATGGAAAGTGGAAATGGAACTACAACTGGATGACGTAGAAAACATTTTTTTTTACCACAAAAAACAATACATAACAAACACGACAATCATAGAAATTTCCAGCGACTGTTTTCGGGCAAAATGTGAAAAACTAAACTAAGACTATTTATTAAAAATGAATCTGGGGTTTAGCACAATCATCCAATATCATAATGTCATCCGGACGTAGGATTGCATCATTCTAAACCAGGCCCTCCCTTCAATAAATATTAGAAGTTGTAATTAGTTGCATGATCTCACTTAAATAAAATCGGTTGTATTTTTTCCCCCGGTAACCTAGATATGACAGACTGGTGACATGTCCTAACCTGTATCTTGAGGTGAGAAGATACAGCCAGATCTCACATTGCCGCACTTCACACTTTATATCACCGGCACTGCATTCTCACGGTGTAACAAGAGCGGGATGCTGAACAGGAAATGGCATGCCAGGTCAGGTGATTGTGCAGGAATGTCGGCCTAATGTGTGTGTGTGTGTGTGTGTGTATGTTTGTTTGAACGACATTTCATGACATGGCCTCTGCATATTTTCAGGCAACCGTGATTGGATGGAAACACGTGGCTTCACAATGCCACACTCTCACGTGGAATCTCAGGGTTGCTTCTGTGAAAGCATGCAGTGTTTCTGCAGTTTTCAGTTTTTCTGAAATAATGCATCCTATTTAAATTATAATTAAATGTTTCTACTTCATATAAAACTATAGCTCAAGGACACAAGGACCTCGGAACAGGTGAAAGCAGATGGACACACAAACACACACACACACGCACACACACACGCACACACACACACGATGTAGAAAGACGGAAGCAATAAATGGAGCTCAGCACCCTTTTAGAAGAGACAGGACCTCCTTCACGCATGAGTCACCTTCTGATTGAAATTATTTATGCATATTATTTATTCATATTCTCATCGTGATTTGCCCACATGTTGTGAAGGTCAGGGCACATCAAGTTTTAGAAGCTTAAAAAAAAAAGTGAGAGGAATCACCAAAATGATTAAGATTGCCTGGGAAGCCAGTACGTCCCCAGAGGTTGTGATCGTCCAATCAGAGTCAACTAACAGGGAACAGCAGGATCAAGATTCAGGCCCACCCTATTTGGATTTCTTCACATGCCGAAGAGGCGTGGAGTGGAGTGTACGGAGTGTAGTGAACTGTGTGTTTGTCCTCTCAAATGTAATCTGCAAACAATAGCATGCCACAAAGGGTTAAGGATACGGAAGTGTCCTAGCCAATCAGAAGGCAGCTACGCAGCACCGTCGGCAGGTACGGAGTTTGAGCGTACGCTGGTGAGACGCGCTGCTGAGGGTCTGAAGTTTTAATTAACGATAAAAGAGTACAAGTAACACCGACACCGGTTCCTGTCCAGCAAACGAGCGGAACGTCACAGTTGGTGAGTCGTGAGTAAAAGCTGAAAGGCCTGCAGCTCAGAAAATATGCAGAAGTGCAATTACCAAAAGGCTTTTTTTCCTGTGGCTGGTTAAGTTACTTAATAAGTATTTTATACTGAAGCAATAGTAGGACTATTTAATATAGGGAATCTGATTTAAAATGAAAGAACATTACCTCGTGCATGATACTGTGTGTAATGTTTACACCTAAAAGTTCATACCGTAATGTAAATCATTTAAAATTTTTATTGTAGAATTTATATGTGAATAAATATATTAATTAAATTAAATGTAAATCAATATCACACACACAGATAGATATGAGAACAAATATATATATATATATATATATATATATATATATATATATATCAATATCATAGATATATATGTATAGTCTATGGTTGACTGAATGAAAAATCAATTCTCCATGTCAATAGCTGCAGGTCAGGTGATGCAGATGGCGAGCCAACCCAGTGGAGACCTCTAGATCCTGGATTCCTGAATTGAAGATCCATAGAGCGTAGAACTGAACCACCTCCCCCTCTTCACAGCGGTAGGATAAAACCAATGGTAGCACCACACACACATGCTCAG